ATTGCACTGAAGTTCTTCTTCGATTCAACACACACCAAATGAAGCAACAGGTGCATGACGACTTCGAACCGGATATTCTGATATAATGAGGCCTAAAGTGCACACTTAGTGAATAAGAATTTGTAATCGTGCGAACACAATAAACAGAGAGGTACGCCGCTTTAAAAATTTATGATATTGTTAGTACAAACTTTAAGAAAGGAGAACCACAAATCCCATCATCAAAAACAACAAGTAGAACATCGAACAGAAACGATACAAACAAAATGGGATAGAAAGTAAAACGCGGCTCAATTCGAGGGGCGAGTTGATTAATGATAAAAATGTTATTCTTAATGTTGTATGAATGGATAATCTTTCTAAAAGTTCGTGTTAATTGTGATATAACATGTTCAGATATTTGTTATTGTGCTAGTCCTTTTATGATACATCTATAGAACCAATATAACACAGTCAAGGTTTTCTTTCTTTCGCTGTATTAATGGAATATAAGGATTGATGTAAAGAATATGTTAATTTATTGAACAACGCTCAAAATAATTTGTCACCAGCCGTATATTCTTCTAAATTAAATGTTATTTCTGTACTTTTAAAAGTTGTGTTTTCGTAAAATCACAGTTCATGATTTTGCATAATTTGTATTTAACTTACGTTTGAAGCTAAAGGGAATGTCTTTGAAAATTCTCTGAATCTTTCATGTTAAATACTAATAATAAAATATAATAGAGACGCCCTTGCTGAGAGGAAGGAAGAGGTGTCACTTAAAATAAATTCACATCAGGTCTTAGAATAATAGAGACAATTTTGTGATATTAAATCTAATGGAAAATAGATTACTTTATCTAAAAGTATGTTTACAGATTCAACTCACATTGGCAGAACAGTGGCATTTATGCGGACGTGCACGTGAACGGTAACTTTCAAGAACTGTCCATGGACATGTACTGGCGGAATCAACCGAACCTGCAACATTTTCAATTTTGCCGATTTGGGCGTTCGTTAAGGGAGTCCGTTTTTCTCTATTTTCATGAGGAAGCTTCATTCAATCAGCCGAAAAAACCTAGGTATTTTTGCTTGCCTTGTATACTGATGACTAGAATACAACATAATTGAACATTAGCTTACCAAAGAACGTTTCAATAATTCAATAATTCAAAGCTTATTGTCAACAAAACGTAAATGTGGTTTTTATTAATTCTTCATTAAGCAAGCAAAACAAACATGAAAATGTAGGACTTATTAAATGCAAATGCTTCTTCGGTGCATAACATATTGTGTTATAAATAAATATCTTAGATAAGCTTCCTTTTATGCCAATAAATTAATTTCTTTATTTTCTTTTTAGATAATCTGTTTTTTAATATATAAAAAGTTGATGCTGCATGGCAAAATGAATGCAATGTGAAACTTACCTCAATAAATTATAATTAAATCAGTGTTGACAAATCAAATGCTATAAACGGAAACTTGATTAGTTCGAGTGTTTCTGTTGCATTGGAAACCAGACGCATTTCGTGCATTTGCATAATTAAACAATCGCTAAAATATAATGAGGCGCAATAAAAAGACATAATAATAAACCTTTTAATAAATATCTATAATAACACATAATAGAGAGTCGCCCCTTGCTGAAAGGAATGATTTTGGGTTAATTGTATTCTTGTATTCTCTTTCATCTCAAAGTAAAAAGGAAATTTTGTGAAATAAAATCTGATGGATATGAAGGAAATGTCTTGTTATTCCTTTAGATGTCTTTCAATTGTTCTTTACTTAACAAGTGTATTGGCTTTGTTGACGTGAACGCTGTTTGTTTTAAATGACTTCATCTTCCGTAAATATGCTAGTAAAGCAATATACACATGTATTTTGTAATATATTTCATGTCTAAATTCTGTGGTGCTTACAACATGTACAATGCATCAACGACATTGCGCGAGGATCATCAAACATGATAAAAGCATTACGAAGGACGTCAGCTGTGAACCATAAATTATGGTTTTATATTGTACGAGATATATTAACCTTATAAAGTCTATAAATGATTAAGTTAAATGTTGCCGTGTCGGAATTAATAGGCCATTTTATAAAGAGGCGATCATGTTCATTTAATAATATTGTAAGTTTGTAACGTTGGTTTTAGTTTAACCATCGGGATTTATAATATAAGTATATATACGTATAAGACTGTTGGAAAGTTTTCATTTATTATTTTTAAATCAAGTTCAATATACCAGTTATGACGTATAAAGACTTTCGGCATTTTCTTCACCATTTATCAATAATTGATTACCTGGATGGCTCTTGTCATATAACCTTACGAAGGATTTTTTGTCAAATAACCAGGTCAAATTGTGCTTACCGAACTTTAAATAAAAAGTCATGTTGTATGTGTATAAAATAGAAAGAATATAAATTAGATATGTAGATTTTGCAACCATTTTTGCTACATTGTTCATCTTGGCTAATGCTTCTGAGGTTATTAGCCTTTGCCGCCAGACTAGAGCCAAGTGAAATCTGACCAGATTCTTTACTATTAGTAGCTTCATTTATATAAATTAATTATTGTTGTTGTCAAAATCCTTCACAATTACAATGCAGTTGATGTTTATAAATTTAATTTACATCAATGATCATGAAATGACGTTTTCATACATTAAAATCAATGAATTCAACTTCAAATACAACACAGTCATGTTTAATTGAAGTGAACAAACTTTGGCAGTGTTTAGTCAATACATAAACCCTTCAATAATACTGCCAAACGGATCTGAAACAACATCGGAAGATAAAATCGTGTTGGTAGAAATACAATGCTTAAGTTTTATTTGTGTAAATAATGTGTTTTATTTAGCAGCTGTTTTAAGTCTGATCAATATACCTAACAATGTCACTGTAAGTAAAAAGACAATGATCTCGTATTCTGGACACTTGAATATCGATGAAAGCGACTTCAGGAAATTCCGGCCTCCAATACGCCATAACGAATGTTTGTTTTCAGATATACCGTATCATTTCCTGGCAAAGGTTAATTGGTCAATATGTCATGTTAATTGTCAAAAAGTGTTCCAGGATAATCCATTTAAATGTTGACCTTTGACAAAATTGAGACAGACAAAACAGTCATTCGCAAAAATAAGGAAAAATAGATACTCGCAAAATGGTTTCTCAGTAACAACTTTTAGACCAGTAACTATAGATTAGATTAGTTGTTCGATAAAAAGGCAATGTCTAAAAGTGTTTTCCAGTTCTTCTTTACAACGTATCATTTCCTGACATAGTACAAATTTATAAATTAAATAATATTTAGTTGGGGTGTTACATGACATAGATAGAAAAGATTTTTTTTTTCGAGATAACACTGCAACATTCAAAAAGCACCGAAATATCATAAGCAGTTGGCCAACGTTGTAAAGATTGTTGTCTAAAAGCTCAAACATAATTGAAATGAATGTTAACAGGGGACGACAAGCTTAATCAAAACATTGCAATTCAAATATATTTGAAGAGAGTACTAATGACTTTTTAAATAATTTCTTAATGGAAAGTTTATACTAGTATTAAACTTATAATATATATTAAGATAAAAATCATAATAAATATCAAGTTTCTTGTCATAGACAAAAGCAACTTGATATTATTTTAATAAAGTAAATTAAATGAAAGATAAACACTCAAAGCGTAGGCAGCAGAATTCATGTCTCCGAGCTTTAATTTGTTGTTAGTTTTAGTTTAAATTTCTCATTAAAGTTTAAAGTACAACATAATTTTACTTTTGGTGCAGCTAAAGGTTACAAGTAATATTTCGAAGATTGTGATAGTTGGTATTAAAAAATATTAACATCCAAATGCAATATCGGCAAAAAGTATGAGAAACTGTTTTTTTATTGACACAAAGTGCAGTTTTGCAAATTTCAATGGTTGTTAAATATTTTGTATTCGTTCAGAAACAAAAACAGGAAAATCTAAATTATTAAAACAAGAGATGGAAATTGTTCGTCTATCAAACAGTTACGTGTTTCCGGTAGTTATAAAGATTGCCATTAAATATGATTGAGGATGGACACATAACATGTAAATATATTATTGAGGGGAACTCGAGTGTCAACGCGAATTCTATGCTCAAGTAAAGAAATAGAATATTATTTTAATTTCTATATAATTCAATTAAGCCCGTATGCTTTATGAATTTATGAAAATGATATACATAATTTATTATATGTTCTGTCCTACATTGTAGGTATAAAACATAATATTCAAAAGTTTTCCGTAAAGGTGTTAATTCTAATCATTTGAATATTATGCACGAATTAAAGTATATAAATTTGCTCTGAAATATTATGAATTTTTAAAATGGTTTTATAAATTGCTACAACAATCATGTGAGGAAAATTTGAATAATAACGTAAAATTTAGGTTAAATTGTATTTTGTTATCCCATATTGTTTAAATGTTTTCGATTGCATAAAGACAACAACAATTATTCATTAACAAAGAGGTTTGTAGAATAATAAATAAAAGCAATTTCGATAATCATGAAACTCCTCAAATAGTGATTCGACAACACTGATTATATCGATTCTGCTTATAAAAATAGTTATGTACAGCTTTATTCATGCACCCTAGCACCGGTTAAAGCGGTAAGTGCATGTACCGTACAGAAATAGGCTTGCGTTTGAACTGATGCAATATGCTTATAGGCAAGAAAAAAAAATGCTTTTGTCAAATAACTGCCATACAAAGTCTTTTTTTGAATAACATAGAAATATAAATGTAAAGGTAAACTTGTCATTACAAAGATTTTCATTTATTTTGCTGTTTAAAATGAATATAAAAGAATAACTATTGTTTTTTTTTATAGATATTCATAAAAAATGTACCTTTCTAAGTACATTGTAAGCATGTATAACATTCAGACTTCCTTCAATATATGACCTTCCTATTTTGTATAAATTACTTTCCAGATTATGTGATATAAAAGTTTCTCATACCGTATCGCCGCATTTATTATTAACGATTTAAGTAACACCAGATGTTGCTGGTTTGACATTAAAAGTTTCAAGCATATCTGGGAAAACATGAGTGTAGAGCAGTTTGTTAAGTAATGGGAATATGTTTACACAAAGTTTTTCATCATGACATGGATTCATTAGCACACAAATTTCATGGACACAAAGAAGGACGAAGGTCAATTTGCATCACTCCGGTAATTTTATTTTCAGTACAATTTAATGCCTACAGATGTAGTTAAAATGTCTTTATATAATTGATATGTTTATTTTTCTAACAATAATGAAAACGTTGTAGATAGTGTTTCCTTTTGCGCGAAGTTAAAATATCAAATTGTTTAAGACAAAAATAGTATCGCCTCATTGATTTAAATTGCGGAGTCTTTGCTAGAAATATTTATATATACTTACACAAAACACCTTAAATGACACTTATTTTTACTGGTATTTTAAATCGTCAAAATCGCCATCTTCATACCTAATATTACAATATTTGTTAAAAGGTCAATGATATCAGGGTCTAAGTCAGTGATGTGAAGGTCATTTGATTTCGTTGGTATACGGCTAATATTTTCAGTTATTTTGATATGATTTACCATATTTCTTCAAAGATCTAATTTATTTACGAAGGCTATTATGCCTCATTTCTCGCAAAAAGCCAAACCCAACTGGATATCCGTTAACAAGTACAGTAAAATGTCATTTATTGATATATTTTCTCATCCATAGATAAATCGTGTACTCGTTGACATAGAACTTACCAAATGGATGACAGAAATATGTAAAATCAATGATAATTCTCTTGTTAAAAACAAGGAAAGTCGGATATTTTTATCAAAGCAATGGGTTATTCTTATTCTCTCAATTAATTATAAAACCAAATAAAACAGGTTGAATATTACTTGGCAATGCGTTCTCAGTAACCTTAGACCAGAACATGTATAATGAGTATTATCACAAAGTTACGGTCATTCATTCTTTTCTTAGGGTAATCAGTTTTTGCCTGAATAATTCTACATTGATTCTAGTATATTAGTATCATCTGATATCATATATTGTATGCCATCATATTCAATTATTTGAATATTGATACTTTAACGTTATATAAAAACAAGTACCAAGGAGCCTAGTAAATGTTTTGCGTTTTATGCATATATTTAACCATGAATTTTATAAAATTGTATGTTTTATAACTGAAATGTATTTATTCAAACCTGTTTTGAGACAAACGTTTATGGTTGTTGCACGTAATCTTATAAACGCTTCCTTTACTAATTCATTGATTACATTCGCTGAAATACTCACATTGTGTCTTAAAATCTACTAGAAATGTGTCATCATGCCACGGATGCCCCCCGCATGCAGCCAAAATTTCAAATGTTATAATATTTAGTTCCAAATTTGTTTTGCACAAATTATTTTTTTCATGTTCAAAGCCCTTAAAACTATTCAATGTTAACACAAACCATTTTTATACAATGTTCAAGGCACTGAAATTATTCAGTCTTAACCTTTTGAAAATAGCATATTGCATATTTGTAGCCAAAATAATGGCTACATACATTTCCACAAAAGTATGAGTGCTGAAACTGAAAGTTCAAAATTTTTCCAACATTCAGGAAGGATAATTTTGTCCAAAATCATTGAACCACGACCAAATTCAAACTTAAACTGCTTATTCCTAAGATGTATCTATATTATTTTCAAAGTGAAAGGGACATAACTCTGCCAAAAAATCATCGAACCATGACCAAATTCCAACTTGACCTGCGCATTCCTTTGGCATATCCATATGTCAAATTTGAGTTGAATATGTAACACTGTTTGGTTGATAATGAACAGAAATTGTAAATTTCATATTATTTTCAAAGTGAAAGGGGCATTACTCTGCCAAAAATTATTGAACCATTACCAAATTCGAACTTGGCCTGCGCATTCCAAAAACATATCCATATGTCAAATTTGAGTTGAATGCGTAATACTGTTGGGGAGATAATAAACGGAAACTGAAAATTTCATATTATTTTTAAAGTGAAAGGGACATAACTCTGCAAAAAATCGTCGAACCATGCCAATTTTGAACTTCACCTGCGCATTCCATTGACATATCCATTTGTAAAGTTTGAGTTGAATGTGTTTTACCGTTGGGGAGATAATTAACGGAAACTGAAAATTTCATATTATTTTCAAAGTAAAAGGGGCATAACTCTGCCAAAAACCATCGAACCATGACCAAATTCAAACTTGACCTGTATTTTCTCATGACATATCCATATGTCAAGTTTGCGTTGAATGTGTTGTACCATTGGGGAGATAATGAACGGAAACTGCAAATTTCATATTATTTTCAAAGTGAAACGGGCATAACTCTGCCAAAAATCATCGATTCATGACCAAATTTTAACGTGACCTGCACATTCCTTTGACAAATCCATATGTCAAGTTTGAGTTGAATGTGTTGTACCATTGGGGAGATAATTAACGGAAACTGAAAATTTCATATTATTTTCAAAGTAAAGGGGCATAACTCTGCTAAAAATCATTGAAACATGACCAAATTCGAACTTGACCTGTATTTTCTCATGATATATCCATATGTCAAGTTTGAGTTGAATGTGTTGTACTGTTGGGGAGATAATGAACGGAAACTGAAAATTTCATATTATTTTCAAAGTAAAAGGGGCATTACTCTGCCAAAAATCATCAAACCATGACCAAATTCGAACTTGACCTGTATTTTCTCATGACATATCCATATGTCAAATTTGAGTTCAATATGTGCAACGGTTATTAAGATAATGAACGGAAACTGATGATGACGGAAGGACGGAAGGACGGAATGACGGAACAGGGTAACACTATATGCCCCTGCCATTATATGGCGGGGGCATAACAAGATACGTTTTTGTATCTATCATACGTTCTATCAACGTGATGGCATGTACAAAATTAAGAAGAAGAATAATTTTTTATAAGACTATGTCTTTCGTTCGAATCCTTTCCTTTAAATATATGATTTGAATTGTGTTCTAATTGTATTGTGTTTATACGTATAATTATTTCGGGAAATAACTATGTTTAAACTAAATAATGTATTAAATGCAATTGAGAGAAATAAAGAGTCTATAAAGAACGCAAAAAACGACAAAATTGTTGCAGGGTCGGTTTGATTTCATGAACAGTAATTGAAAGTGCAAGTTACCGTCCATGCCCCCTAGCAATTTGGAGTTTTGAAACATCCGCAGATTCGTTCACACGGTGATTATCATGGAACCTTTAGCTATAAACATTTCATGTTTGATATCAATAACAGATAAAATATATTATCTTTACTGAAAAAAAGGTCTCAGTGACAGTTTAATCAATGTACTGTCGATTTTAAAACAATAGATAAACGACGGCTATCATCTTTATTGGAGCCATGGTAACGTTAAATGTCAAATCAAAAAAACTTAAATAAAATGGTAAAATTTTGAATTTAGAAACATATGCCGATGTGCGCATATGGCAGTTGTGATGGAACCGTCAATGTGACAAGTTAGTGTCATTCCAATAAAAGCGGCACATGGTCCCCAAATAAAGGAACTTGTGTGCCAGAAAAAAAAACAATGGGTGAAACTTTAAAAAATTGAATTTTCAAAGGATATCAGAGATTATGAAGCCTTGATAACACATATAACATATCACAAGACATTATAAAGATCATGTGCTTTTAATGTACAGCGAAATGGTTTTGAACGGCAATGAGTTGCCAAACATTCATTTGCATCTCAGATTACTTTAATATTCAATTCCCATTAAACTTTAAGGCAATTGTACTAAATTAATAAGACACCAGTTTACATTGGGTGAGCTCTGATGCTGGTGAGAGTGATTTTAAGTTATGTAAAAATAAGTCATTATTCTTCCTTTTAATTAATTCCTATTAAGTAACATTTTGAAATCAAACTTAAAAAACATATTCGCCCTTGCAGTGATAAGTGCAGAAATGTTTTAGACACAAACTGTTAATAAATAACATATCAGAAATGCCGCAGCAGAAATACCCATAATGTAACCTTGATGATAATTCTGTGTCCGCTGGAAAGGCAATAAAACGTAAGTTTTATTATTGTAAACAATGTAGTTTACCTCGACAAGCTGCCTCGTCGTCTAATCAATATATCTACCATTGCTACCTAATAAAGATATAAAGAGACATTTGACTCGTATAGGAGACAATGCAGGCAAATTAAGGCAAGGACAGATGGCTATTCTCCATGTTTGTTTACAATAAATGTTAAATATTGGATAAACCGGCAATAATTCCCCTAAATGTCAAATTAACTAACGTTTGTAGTTCGTATGATTATAGTGTTGAAATATTGCAATAAACGAGGGAATAAAACAAACAAGGTCGATCATCCCGCATTCAAACGAATAGACTTGCACATAAACATATTATGTCTAGACAAATGGCTACGAGTGTGCTTAATAATAAGAACAAAAATAAGTACTTCAGGCGGTAACATTTTGCTAATTCTAATCTAATGTATGTATTTACAATATTTCTTTCTCTTTTCCAGGATGTGCAAATATCAAAAGAACATCAACGTGTTCAGCCACGTTCCACGTCTATATCTTCACGAGGTAGCATATCAACTGTGTCACGTGGCAGTATAAAGAGTGACCCATTCGCAGGTTATGAAGACACGAGTAGTATAAGTGCACGAAGTGATACGAGCGTAGATAGCTATGTTTTTGATCCTTCATTTGGTAAGCTTTAATTGTCTTATTACAAATCAGTAGGTGAAACAACACATTAAGACAAAATTATGCGGGTTTTATGTCCTTGGTTAAAGAATGCATTGTATTCATACATATTTTTGTTGTCAATGTGTGTTTTAAATATAAATGAGTGAAATATATCTTATATGATTATTTTATTGCATAACGTAATCATTTGTACCTCCGTAATCTTTCCTTTTTTTGGTTCCATATGACCTGAACTGTGTTACTTCGCCATAAAACCAAACAAACGAACAAAAAACATGACAAAGAAGCATTTTTATAAGCCCAAGATTTATATCACACAATCAAAACAATTTGATAATTATAGCCAATTGTTGATATTAATTCTATCTTTCATAAAAAATATGAGCACATGTTTAGATTACTACGTTTCAGGTGCTATTCGACCGGATTTGTATCCGAGAAAAGACGCTGTGTTACAACAATCATCTGTAGATAGAAGTTTTGGACGTCTTCATGTACGTCTAAAGTATGATTTTAGGACGTCAGATCTGGTGGTTCATTTGATTGAAAGTATGATTCCTTCTTTAAATCATTTGTTCTTAGAATATTTAATCATAAAAAATAGAAACTGTTTTTGGTTTCCTGGCGTATTCGGAAGGTCAGAGGGTCAATGGTTCTTCTCAGAATCATGAAATAATGCACAGAAGTGTCTTCCTTCCAAGCAATCATTTCCTGACGTAATCTTATATTAACTCCTTTATTATTTCTTGTTAATCAATTAATATGTAAATTATTAGCTGTAAATCAGTTGTGTTTCTTTGTCTTAAGTGAAAACAATTTCTTCCTTTGAAATTAGTTTTGTATTTCTTTTCATTCTTGTGACAAATTTGAAAATGTTTGAAATATTTCATCTTTAATACTAAAAGTCATCTTTAAGAAATATAAGTTAAAACGAATGTGATCTTTATATTATAATGGTTTCTCTCATTTATTGGAAATGTATTCATATATATCACCAACGCTGCACATCGCTGCATGTAATATGTAGCAGACGACAAACATAAAATCTAGCAACTAAGTGAATATTTATGAACTTTTTTTTTTTTGTGATTCGAAATAGTACTAAATACTCAACCTTTGTTTTAATAAAGAATCTGTAAATAGTACTGAATACTAAACCTTTGTTTTTAATAATGGTTGAAAATGTCTTTAAAATTCTCTGGAAATTGTAACACGTGAATAATAGCAACTAAGTGCATATTTATCAACTTCATTATGCGATTATAATTCCTTAAAGAAGTTCTGTAGAATACTAAACCTTTGTTTTTTAATTATGGTTGAATATGTCTTTGAAATTCTCCGGAAAATGTAACACTTGAATAATAGCTATGCCATGTACTGGAAGGGGAGAAACCTCTTAAAATATGGTAAAACTAAGCCATTCATTAAATTAAAGAATGATAAATGACTAGAAAATGCTAGAAAAGACCAATAATTAGCTATTTTATGTCTTCTTATCGTCTTTGTTTATGTTGTAAATGACACTAAATATGCGGAATTTAGAGCCTTTATTGTCTAACCTGGGTGACTTTTATTTGAGTGATCATTTTTTTGTTGAAGTATACGAGTGTATATTTGTTGACTCGGCAAAACATGTCAATATTAGAATTTCAGATCCGAAGAAATCTTAGAACTGGAAACCTTTTGAACAAAGATAGACATTTCTTAAAATTGTTCATCAATATTTCTTGGTGAATATCTTGACAGATTTGAATTTGTAAAGACTTCACTTTTATCGAAGCCAACTTGGTGTCGTAAGTTTGTTTGTTCGTCTAAGTGCCCCACTCAGAAAATTTTCTCATGTAGATTAATCAATGCATATATTTATTTAATTTGAAAAGGTGATTTATCTATTTCTTTTCATAAGCACAAGATCTTCCGCCATCGGAAAAGATGGATCCAGATGGTGGTTTTAGTGATCCATACATCAAAGTAAGCATAGAACCAATTGTCGACGAAAGAACGCGCCAGTCATCTGTAAAGCGCAAGACGGCCAACCCGTTTTATAATGAATATTTCAAATTTCCTGCAACATATGACGTCATCAAAGAATCTTCACTGGTATTTCTTGCATATGATAATGACAAGTTTTCCCGCCATAAATTGATAGGTGAAGTTCGGATAGATTTGTCGAAGGTGGAGACGAGCAACAGTGTGGAGATGTGGTGTGATATACAGAAACAAACTCAGGTAATGATGACGAAGTACACAGAAATATGAAAATAAGTGTGCAATATTTATTCGAAAACAATATACTGCATAATCGGAAACAAATTTAGAATATAATTTAGCCATTACGTCAATATAACTTTAATATAAATAACAATTTACATTTTATAGGAGTATAGCAAAGTGTTTATATTTATTCTATTAATATGTTTTAATGTATTATTCTGTAAAAAGGAAACACATTTTTGTCCTAAAAATTAGTCCACAAAAAATTTTGTTATTGAGGAAAAAGTCGTTAGCAAATCAGCAGAATCCACTAACTCTGTATGGTTTTCTAAGACTAAAAAGATGTAGATATAAATATATAGATCTAATATGAAAAGAATGTAAAATGATATTACTAGTCTCATAACGGTAATAACTTTCAGCTGTACCCGTCGTGAAACTTTACCTCCTTCCGGTTTAATCTATAAATGTGTTGAATTATGGGTAATAACGTAATGGATTTCTTCCATATTGGGCAATAAATATTTGCCGTTGTTAATGTCATATTCCGTTGGCTTATAAATCATTTTACCCATAAAAGAACGAAATATTCCAGAAACTATTATAGACGGACAGAAATGTTGTGATCATAACATAATTGTAGAAAAAGCCGAAGGCGACGGGCAACAGGGATTTTTTTTTATAATTATTTTCAAGGATACATGTTTTATTAATCGTCAGTTATCATCTGAATAAGACTGTTGTCCGCTTTTGTCTATCAACTTTCAAAACCAAACAAAATACATTGTGCACATAGTATACCAATGTAATAATGTCTGCTTTAGATATTGGTCTTTTCGGCATTGTTATATTTTACTAGGTTAATAATTATAATCTGAATATTAAAACAAGTTATATACATGCAGATAATGCAAAATAAAATAAAAATCCAAATAATATCAAACAATTGTTTGAAACAGCGATTATCATTTAAAATATATACACATGCAATCAATTAATGATCAATATGACATTGAATGTGTTCTTTCCCTAATATAACAAGTGCAATAAATACATTTTAATAGTCTTCAGTGGCGAAAACACATTTTTTTAATTGAAACATGATGAATACTATTTTTTTTATAAAAATCAAGAAATTCTATAAATATTCAGAATCATTAAGAAACATTGAATATTTTGTCCTAAATATGACCAAATTTACTTTCTTTTCATCAAAATTCTAACATAAGATTTATTTCTGCATTATGTGTTATGGAAAGCAAGTTTCGTATGCTAGGTTCAGTCGCTAAATTAATACACTTGACGACCACATTTGTACTCATTATAATTTATTTATTTATTCATTCATTCATAAAAATAGCACAAATCTGGATACATGATGCTTTAAACTGTGACTTCACATGTTTTCTTTATAATAATAAATATATGTACAGTAATACAAAAACAATATAATTAATTTATATTGAGAGAACATTTACAGGCTAGAGAATTATTTATTTCGATATATACTAAAATCTCTATTAAATTTAATAACAATAATGTATCGAAAGATATTACATCATGGCACATCTGCAACAATGAGAAACATTGGTTAAACAAAAAAATACGAAACAAAGTAAATTCGAAATAACGGCAAAAAGCTCAATGACTCTCGTGAACAAAACTGTGTCAAGATTATAATTTCATTGACGATATAATAAACAATATTCCTAACAGTGACTTCATTTATTGACGACTGATTGAAGTATGGGCAGTTAATCCTTGTGTCACATCGTCATTAAATTCAAACAAATAAATATAAATGAAAAAAGGGGCGTCCGAGGTCTTCTAACCACAGTCCCCTTCGGAAAGTTCGAATCCCGCCAGCGACTTTGGCGCTAGAAAATCCTTATTTTGTTCTTCAAGTGTCAGATTTTTTATCTGTCTTCTTGGCCACACGCCTGTAGTACTTTTTATAAGAAATAACATCGATTCTGATAATTAACCTAAAATTACAATCATTATTTGGTTGCATGGTTCACACATTTAATATTTCCGCTCCAATTAGACTGTATAACGAGATAAATCCACTCCAAGCAAGAAGCAAATTAGCAAACCAATTAGCAGGCTGTACACGTGACTGGAGAAAGAACGGATTACCTTTATTTAAAGGTACATTTCATTAACGCGATCCAAGACTTAAAGATACGAAAACGTATTTTTGAGTTTCAACTGCTAATATTTAATGATAATGAAATGGAGACTGGAGTCCCAAAACAAGGAATGACCTTTCTATAGCTATAAAAGCAAGTTTAAATTTCATTGTCACCGACAACTTGAACATTAAACAGTTAAACTGATAACTAAGGCCACCATAAATTAACTAGTCCGTCTTAATTCATAAGGACAATTATTTGATTTGGTAATACAAAATGTTGAGAAATATGGAGACCTTGAAAACGCACAAAATGCCAAAATTGAAAATGTTGCAGACTTAGTTTGATAAAGTATGCTATTTGGCGGCAGTGGTGTATACATGCTATTGTCAACGCACTCTAGCACCGGCAAGAGCAGAATTCAACATTTAACCATGAACATGGTGTTTTAAAACGTATTTTGAAATCAGTAGATGTGTTCACATGGCGGTAATTTAAACTTCTTTGAAGTCTACAATATCCTTTTAAAAAACTTGTTTTCTCTTTTCATACAGCAAGAAAGTGCTGAGCTTGGAGAAATCCTTCTATCATTGAGTTACTTACCTACGGCTGAGAGATTAACAGTGGTTGTGATGAAAGCCAAAGACTTAAGAGTGCCAGTTACAACGCCATCTTCAGGTGAAATATTTGTCAAGCATATTATTGTATATTACGTTAACTTAGTTAATAAGTTAACAATTGAATTTGGTAAAATTACATGTGCTATCTAAAATGGAGTTACCATATTAAAAATAATACAGAACATTAAACCGAGATTTAAGTTGATAGGTCTTTCTACCTCTTATTTTTAAGTAATGAAGTAAAAATTGAATTGGCTAAATACATTTGCCAATGTCTTTTATCACAAGACAATGTACAAAATATTTTAGGAAAGTACTGGAACCAATATTTTCTATATATTTATTATCATTTGAAATTGCTTGTTTGCACATAGTGTTATTTCGTTGATGCTACATATTAGGCGCTATGTGTGTTATGAATTAGTATAAACTGTTTTCTTACAGATCCTTACGTGAGGATAACACTTATAGTGGATGGAAAGAAAGTAAAACGGAAGAAAACAAGCGTTATGAAAGGTACACATAATCCAGTCTGGAATGAAGCCCTTTCCTTTAATATACCTGCTGAACTGTTGCCAAAGGTTATGTTAGAATGTCACGTGGTTGACAACGACCTTATAGGTCATGGAGAATTTGATTTGTCGGCTGCTGCGTAATTGGGTCAAGGAGGACAGGAAACGAGGGCAAGCATTGGAATGATATGATACAAAACCAACGTAAATCTATGGCCATGTGGCATGCTCTGCATAAATAAGACAACGTCACGATGGACCTTATATGTACATGTATATAGTGCCTAGTAGGGTGGTCTTATTTTGTGTCGTCTGGCCACTTTTAAATTCCAGGCTAAATGTGTTAAATTTATATTAATTTTGTGTTCTCAACATAAATATTAATTACAAAGCGATATTTATATCAAAGTGCTAAGAATTTAGCATTGTCGAAAGATCTGTGTATCCAGACGACATGATATTTGTTAACGTATAAAAATTCTATAATATAATGTAATCATCTTGTTTCTATTTAAAAAATTTCGGAAACAAAGTGATCCCTCGGAAGCATTCATCACAACAAAATAGCATAAGAATTGCAGACTCGGTTTGATTGAGTCTGTACAAGAGGGATAATGAATAGGTGCAGCATCCCTCACGCCCCCTAGCACCGGCTTGAGCAGTACTCAATTCTCAACACTTTATAGTGTTGGCATCAATGATCCCGAAGGACCAGAAAATATAACAACACTGAAGTGAAGTACGGGACAACTTTTTACGACTTTTTAAGACTAATCTACTTTACATACTATAGGGCAAATATGTTACTATACTTTTGATAAAACAGATTCATTCTGATACCTTGTAAAAATAACATATTACTTCAACCAGGTTGATTTCTCACCAAAGATTATGTGTTCATGCATGCATAGTAGGTGATTACTTAGTCAAATAATTTTAAATTACACAAATATATACAAGTAAAATTTACTTAAATAACAAAGGGGGTATGTGCTGCATTTAAACATGTTATAAGACTTGATGCCATTTATAATTACATGTATATACTTAATTGATATTATATAAACTGGTAACCCTCATTTCATCTCGCCTTACAATCATGTTTATAAACCATACATTGATAACTTTAAACATGTTACATATATACATTTTTCTTATTATTTATTATTTTCGAATAAGGGAAGAATTTTCACTTGACATATTATATAGAACTATGAATCATTGAAATAATTCTTTTTGAAAATTTTCAAAAAATGCTGGTACAAGCATAAAAACATTAAGTTGTTATTAAAATATCGGTGGATAAACAATCTGTATAGTACACGGACATTGTGATGGGGAACCTAAGAATTAGCTTAAGATAGCACAATAGATGGAAACACTCTACAAAAAAGATGTACTTGTCAAAATTTCAATTAGTATGTTTTCTGTGTTTGTCTATTTCTTGGATGAATTTAAAAGCCACCGATTAGGTTTTTGTAAGAATCTTTTTCCTACAATTTGTTTATTATTTAAGGTGCAACTTCAGTTATAAGATACATGTAATTGTTCTTGATACTACATGTAAACTTTTAAAATCAGGTTAAGAACAATATTTTCACCTGATATTCTCTACTTATTATTTGTATTTTATATTTTTCACATGCACATTTTGTATAATAATATCACTTATTTTTGGAACTCACTTAAAGTTAATTTTAGTAGTTAAAAATGAGAAAAAACCCTATGACTCTGAATAGCCATTTTATATTTAACTTGTTGTTTAATCATATAAAATTTAATATAAATGATACACCAATATGTTTAATTTCATGTTTTAGAGCCATCACATCAAAATGTACCATTCTTTTATTCCATAGTATAGCTTTGTGAAGAAACCATTCTCGCATTGCAATATGTTTTGAATAAAATATCATGAAAATGGATAAAGAATTATGAATAAAATATAAAAGAAATAAAATACTTAATATAATATAGAAAATATTCTGCGTTAATTATTTTAAAGAATTTGTCAGAATATATCTAAAAACGGTGAAAATTACGTTTGATTTATGAACTTACATGTAAAATATTCATGTAAAAAGTTGATAATTCTGTTGAGTGATTTTTTGTGTTCACATTGTACTGATATTTAAATGAGCATGAGAAAAATATGTTTGACAATGTCATTACCAGATATCTTTTCACATTGACGTTTTATCTGAATCTCTTAAACAACATTATTTTGTACACAATTACAATATATATATTCAAATATAAAATATAACTCTGACATGACTAATGTTATATTTATCATAAATGTATTATTGTATATCACAAAAAATTCTTATGGTATATTTTTGTGTGAATAAAGAAATAAAAAAGAAAATATATTTTTCTCGATTTTATTTGCAATATATGTGAATTCAAGGGAAATCTTGTTATTTTCAAATGTTATCAAGTGTTAAATATATCAAATTGGGGTAATTAGACCATTTAGGTGGTTTGTTTTCCACGAAATATGATCAGTTAAATCGATTGATATAAACTAAGAATAAAATGCACATGTTTTATGGCATCTTATTAACTCTGTCAATGCCGCAAATAACACAAAATCTGTAAAGTATGCAACGTGCTGTTCTTTCAGAATAATTCATTGTGGTATTTCAAATTTATCTAATATCATGAGATTTTATCACGCTTGAAGGCCGTCATTCATTCAAGTTAAAGGATAATTTCTCTCCAAACGTGTCAGATTTCTGCTACTATTCAATTTGAAGTAAAACTACTCATTAGCGTTTTTGCCTTTTAGAGAAATACACAAACTTTCTTCCAACAGAAAAACAAAACAAAAACTTTTTTTTTAAATAATTTAGGTGAAAAGGCTGTATGTCATATTCCTACAATAAATAATTCTATATAGATTGGTAATATGCATTTCTATTCTCACATCGGTAATACTTTCAGCTTGAAACTTCACCTCCTTCCGGTTATATCTATAAACGTATTGTTTTATTGTTTTATGAGTAATAATGTAGTGGATTTAACTTCCATATTGGGCCGTTTATTAATATCACATTCAATTCCCTTATAAATCATTTTCTCCTATCAATAAACGGAATTTTCGAGACATTTGCAAATTGACGTATTCTTAAATGTTAACTATATATATATATACATCTAACAGGATATGAAGTATATAAAGATAAGAGAAAATGCCTTTAGGTTTGACAGAAATTGACTGAATTGTAAAGCTACTGATGATTAACCATTTCATCATCATTTTAATATTAAAAACTACGTCTGCTGCCATATATTTTATGACGTCAAGATCAATATAAATTATGAAATAACAATGTTATGTAAGTTTTAATTCAAAATTATGTACAGGAATTCAAAATCGTACATTGTTCTTACAAATTTATTTACATGTTAAAAATATGCCTGTATTTAACATGTTCAAAGAGCATTTAATAAGAATATTTTTATTTGGTATGATCATTTTTGTCCGGAGCATATCTCAAAAAGTATTTGAGGTATCAACTTGAAACTTCATAGGTGGATAGATCATATTTAGGAGGAGTGCAATGTACAAGAATAATAACTCCACCCTGCATAATTTGTGAGTTATTGCCCTTTGTTATTTTTCAAACTTAATTTTTGTCCAGAGCATTACTCAAAAAGCCTTTGAGATATCAACATGAAACTTCATAGGTGGATAGATCTCACACAATAGGTGTGCAGTGCACAAGAATAATAACTCTACTTTTCATAATTTTTGAGTTATTGCCCTTTGTTATTTTTCATACTTAATTTTTTACCTGAGTGGTGCATTCCTCAAAAAGTCTTTGAGATGTCAACATGAAACTTCATTGGTGGATAGATCTTATTAAGGAGGAATGCTGTGCGCAAGAATGATAACTCTTCCTTTTTTAATTTTTGAGTTATTGTCCTTTGTTATTTTTCATACTTTTAGTCCGGGGCTTATCTCAAAAAGTGTTACAGGAATCAACTTGAATCTTCATAGGTGGATAGATCTCATTGAGGAGGTATGCAGCACACAAGAATGATAGCCTACCCTGCATTATTTTTCAGTTATTGCCCTTTGTTATTTTCAGCCATCAGTATTCACATAGGTTTCAATAGCTTTTATCACTCCAGCCATAAGTTTATTACCAAAAGACCCCTTAAAATTGAATTATTCTGCTCTACTACATATATATTCTTCCAATAGGCAAACACATTCGGCGGGGGATGGCCATGATAACATGGCTCTTGTTGTTTTTGCAATGGGTGTTAGCACATTCAATTTTTAATCACAGTCACAGAACCGATCGTACAAATGTAAGACAGAAACCGCTTTCAACAGTGTCAAATAATAACATATTTCTGAACAAAAGTGTAAACTAATTACACATTTTCAACGGTATAAAAATAACATGTTTTGACACTATGAAATAATAAAAAAGATATTCCAACAGTGTAAAACATCAGTATGACAAATGTCCTGTTTATTGAGCTTGCCATTTGAACAATGCATCTCATGTTTTCAGAATTGTTTTTTTAA